AGGGAGAGCTGGTGAGTGGAACCTGGCCGTCAGAGAGGGAACCGGCGAGCATCTGGCCAATGTCCCAGTCTGTGTGCACGGAGGCCCAGCACGCTGGGCTGAGGGGCCAACACAGGGATGACATGGGCCAGGGGACACCGTCCAGCCACCACATGCTCTGCTGTGTCCCACAGGGCCACGTCCACAGCTGCAGGGATGTCTACATCCCTGAACAGCCCACGACAAAGAAGCCCGCTAAACTCTGCCACGCCGGTGACATCCACGAGCTTGTCTGCGTGCCAAGGCTGGCCAGGGCGGGGCGCTCTCCATGCATCGTCTCACCGTCCCTTCTGTCCATTCCTGGAGCTGACACAGTCACTGCCCTGCTTCACCGAGAGGCCAGTCCTGTGACTGGCTCAGCAGCCTGTCGTCAGCTGATGGTGGCAGCGCCGTGACGTGAGCCTGAGCTGGCCCTGGCGCCACCCCTCCCTCGTGCCTTGTCTGTTCTGTCATCTCTTACCAAGGAAAGAGCCCCAGTGGCTCAGTGGTTGAGTGCTTTGCTGCTGACCAAAGTTTGGCAGTTTGAACCCACCCAGTGGGTCCACAGGACAAAAGATGACAGCCTCCACCCTATGGGGCGTTCCCTTCTGTCACCTGCGGTCACTGGGAGTCGTGATGGAATCACTGGCACCCAACAAACTACAGAAAACACTCTTATTTCCCCCGACCCTAGGGCTAAAGGGGGAGCCCTGGTGGCGTAGTGCCTAAGGCATTTGACTGCTAACCAGAAGGCTGGCGGTTCAAACCCACCAGCCACTCCTCGGAAGGAAGGTTGGGCAATTTGCTTCTGTAATGATATTGCCTTGGAAACCCAAGGGAGGGGTCGCTATGAGTTGGATCCGACTCAAAGGCAGTGAGTTTGGTTTTGGTTTTGGTGGAATATGTACTTTTCTTTTCTCTCTCAGTCCCTCTTTATACCCATCTCTTAATGATTGTCATCCTCTACACTTATTCTAGGAAGACTCTCTAGGAGGAGATTTTCTTTTTTCACTTGACACCAGATGATGTAAGAAAGATTTATAGATACAGATTTTTTTCTAAACTGTCCTCAGCTAATCTATACATGAAAAACAGATGTTTTCCTACTTTCTTTTAGCTACAAGCGATATATTCCGGAAACATTAAATAAATCCATCAGGCAGAGGAATCTTCTCACCAGGCTGCGAATAAATAATGTTTTCAAGGATTTCCTAAAGGAATTTAACAACAAGACCATTTGTGACAGTAGCGTGTCCACACACGACCTGAAGGTGAAATACCTGGCTACCTTGGAAACTTTGACAAAACATTATGGTGCTGAAATATTTGAGACCTCCATGTTACTGATTTCATCAGAAAATGAAATGAATCGATTTAATTCAAGTGACAGTGGAAGCATTGTCTACTATGAAGTGATGGTAACTGGAAATATTGGAATCCAGTGGAGGCAGAAACCAAATGTAAGTAGCTATGGGAGACCAGTGAGAATAGAACATCTTTGTTACACAGTGTAGTTTGTTTATCCTGTTGGAGTTACTGTCTTTCAATTCTATCACCCCCTAAACTTAGTTCTTTATTGTATCCATGTAGCACAATCTCTAAATAAATACATAATGAATTCTGTTGGGAAATAGAGAAATATAAGAATAATAGCAGGTAGACTATGTAGCAAATGTTTACTGAGTATTTATACCATGTGCCAGATGGCTTTTCTCAGCCATGTATTAACTCAGTTATTTCTCAGGGAACAACCCTTTGAGGGAAATACTGCTAGTATCCCTGTTTTACAGGTGAGCACAAAGAGGCACAAAAATAACAAATAATTTGCTCAAGGTCCTACCTAGTAAGTGATGGGACAGAAATTGAATTTAGGTCTGCAAAAAGGACAAGGAGGCCACATATTCTGACCTCCTCTAATCCCACAAGAGGAAGACAGAATCACCATCAATAGCCCAAGGCCTATTCCTGCAAGGCCAGACATGCCGCCTCGCTCCAGCCCTTTCCCCAGCCGTTCCTCCCAAAGCACCCACCACCTCTCTCCTGGGTTTGATAACCCAATGGCCACACAGAACTCACAGATTATGGAGTTTATTAGGGAAGCACCAGGCTACTTGAGGTTTTTCTAGTTCAGGAAAAACGCTCAGTCTCTCTCCCAGCCCACCGTCTCTCAGCCAAGTCTCTCACAGTCTCTCCCCCAGCAGTGCATGTCCCTCCATGTCTTACTCAGCAATGCGTGTCTCTTGTGTCTCTTTCCCAGCAGTACGTGTCTCTTTCAGGAGCACATGTTTCTTTCAGCAGCACGTCTTCCTCAACTAGCAGTCAGAGTTTTGCCTCTAGGAGGCTTCCTTTTGAGCCCGGCAGAGTGGTCAAAGTAGCCAATCATAGCATCAGAACTCTAAGCACCTGAGAGAGATTGGGAACCTTCCAGAACATTGTTTTGTGCCACTCCCAACAGAAATACTCCAGGTGGACAACTTTAGCAATCAGGAGCTCCTCAGTTGCTCATAGCAATTCCCACCTTGGAGTTTACAAAGACTTATGGGTAGAAAAGCCACACTAAGTAATTTACTTTACCGCAAAGTCCCATGAATATGGTAATCGATTTTGCATTATGAAGCTTCTTTCTTGAGGTGTTTGTTGGATGAGGCAACAGTGCATAGCCATTTAAGAGCATGGACTTTAAGCCTATATAGGCTTTGCTCCAATTCTAGCTCTACTGCCTATAGTTATATATCCTTTAGAAGCTTACTGTACCTATATCAGCTGCATATGACTCATCTGTTACTTGGAGATAAAGTATCCCCCTCACAGGGTTGTTGGGAGAATTAAATGACATTTAGCAGAGATTGGCATATAATAAGCAACAAACTATTAAAGCTCAAGTTCACTGACATTGATTCCAACTCACAGCAAACCCCTTTGGGTTTCCAAGCTGGTATATCTTTACGGAAGTAGATTGCCCTGTCTTCTTTCTGCAGAGTGGCTGGTGGCTGGTGGGTTTGAACCACCAACCTTCTGGTTAGCAGTCAAATGCCTTAGATACTGCACCACCAGAGCTCCTTATTAAAGCTACTGTTATTATTTTAAATAGTATTAAATGTGAGAATCACTTCCTCCTCCTGTTTTATTCTCATGCTAAAATAACAGTGTCTCAACAAAATGGATCGACAAGGTAGCTACAATGATGGGCTCAATCATAGTATTGATTGTGAGGATGGCATAGGACCAGGAAGTTTTTCATTCTGTTATACATAGGGCCACTATGAATTGAAACTAACTCGATAGTACCTTGCAACACTTATTAAGTGCTTCCATGTACTGAGCCCTATGTTAATAAATATTTAATCCTTAAAGAACCTTGTCAGGAGGCAGGATCTCTGTTCTCTCCAGAATGGGAAACTGGAGGCTCAAAAAGATGACCTAACATGGTAAGTAATTGGCAGAGACAAGGGTCGTAACCCAGATCTCTAGTTTCCAGTTCTCATGTTACACAAAATGTTGAAAATTTTGTTGATAAATATGACTCTTTGGATTGTTCAAGCTTTGGATTCATATCTTCTCTCGAACATTCCAGCCTGAGTATTGTTATAAAGTCAAGAAATTTCGTGATAGATTACAAATTGAGAAAGCCCATGTTCTGTCCAGTCACGATTGGGAAGAACGTGTTCTTTTATCTGTGTTGAGACAAGTATATTGGTCTGGAAGTGAGAGGACCCAGGTGTGGTTTCAAATCTAGCCAAAACCAAACCAAACTCACTGCCATTGAGTCGATTCTGACTCATAGTGACCCCCTGTGGGTTTCCGAGGCAGTAAATCTTTACAGAAGTAGATTGCCCAGTCTTCCTTCCGTGAAGTGGCTGGTGGGTTTGCACTGCCAACCTTCTGGTTAGCAGTCAAATGCCTTAGATGCTACACCACGAGAGCACCTTAGATTCATGTCTAGTGGTCAGTAATTTCCCTGAGTTTATATGCATATGGTATATTATGTAAAGAGCTTAGTCCTGTTCTCATTAAGGTTTCTTGTTGTCAGTTACCAACTCCCCCAATTCCTCTGGAAGTCCAGGCACACTGGCTTTCTTTGTCTTGGACCTAGGCCCTGCATTGGTGTCACAATCATTGACTGACCCTTTACCAATAGAAAATGGGAGTCAATTTATCTCTGTTACATTTTTGCCTCTTACCAGGTTCTTCCTGTTGAAAAGGAAAAAAATAAACTGAAGCGGAAAAAACTGGAAAATAAACATAAGAAGGATGAGGAAAAAAACAAAATCCGGGAAGAATGGAACAATTTTTCTTACTTTCCTGAAATCACTCACATTGTGATAAAGGAGTCTGTGGTCAGCATTAATAAACAGGACAACAAAAACATGGTGGGTTTGCTCTAGAAGCTACTTACCCGGGGTCTAATGACAAAAGGGAAACATTACTGAGGATGGTTATACAACACAGCCTTCTCAGAGTTCCTGTCCCAGAAAGAAAATCTGATGATTGTCTTATTTAGGCCAAAAAGACCCTCTTGGTGAGGCATTATCAACACTGGTTTTTGAGTTGCACCGGTACAATCTCATGCCTTTCTTTGGTCTTGCAAATGTGAATCAGCCTTGGGTTGTGCTCCCCTCCAGAAGATATTGTATCATCAGTATTTAACTTACAAAAGTTAGTGAATTAGAAAGAAAAGCAAATCAACGAATGTCAGTGTTTTTCCCCAAGGCCTTCTGCGAGGTCTCTCTGCTGATTTTGGGGGGGGCTTGTGGGGTCAAGTTGGTGGGAAACCCCACTTCGCACTCAAGCAGACTGTCCAGTCAGTGACTGGCCACAGTGACCATCCTGGCCATGGTGTCAGTCACACCCAGTGACTCTCGGACAGAGGAAGAAGTGTTCAGTCTCACTTCCTTTTTTTGGTATCACTTGAGGACATAATCTAGACAGGCAGGCCGCCTTGGCAGGGGAAGTGGGAACTCTGCCAAAATAAACATGTTTGTGTCAGGGGAAATTGTGGCCAAAAAGTAGAGAGCGCAAGATGGAGAGACAGAGACACCCTCACAAAGCAGAGCAGTCAACACTAACAAAGTACCAAGTTTTGCCTAAAATTTGGCAAATAGTACATCAAAATTATAATACTCGCTGCTGGAAAAGAGTCTAGGGATGTACTTTAGAACTGACGGTCACTGTCTTCCACCTAGAATATCTGTCTGTTTGTCATAATCTGTTAGAAAACAGCTTGGTGGCATGTATTAAGAACTTTGTAAATATCTATGACCCTCCATTCAGGAATCTAGGGGGTTATTTTCCAGAAACAAGGAGAATTGTAGGCAGAGGCTGATGAATTAGAATATTCAGTCCAGTATCAAAATATGAAAATAACCCAAATGTGTAGGAATAGGAGACTGGGACAGCAAATCACAATTCATCTGTGCAGTAGAAGGTTATACAGCCAAATTGCCAAACTTACAGTGATTTGGAAAAATACTTTGGCAAATGGGGGGGAAAAAACGAAATATAAAGTTTTATTTATAGGAGGACACCAATTTTGTTAAAAAATTTTAAAGGTATGCACACACATACACATGCTCATAGAAAAATAATCAAATACCGGCATTCTTCCATGCTGTTATGTGATGACATTTATTTATGATGGGCTTATGAATGATTTTAATGTTTTCCCCAAGTTGTTTTTTTTATTTTTTAAACAATAAGCATGTGTTCTGGTTACCTTTTGCTGCTCTCTGACAAGAATATACCACAAATGGTATGGCTTGAACAAACAAGAGTTTATTCTGTTACAGTTTGGGAGGCTAGTAGTCCGAGTTCAAAGTGCCAGGCTCTAGGGGCTGTGTGAAAGCCCCTCAACCTTGGGCTTTAGCTCTGTCTCTTGCTCTTGGCCCACTAGAGCTAGAGGCATCTCTTCACTCAGGCAGCTTCTGGCTGCTGAAGCTAACAAGCCGAAAGTCGACAAAATGGCACAGTCCCGATGTTACCAAACCACATGGCATGCCATTAATTTAAGTCCATTGTAATTCCCAAGGTCAGCAGAGCATGGCAGGCTACTGAACAATGACACAGCTACATGCAGGGTGCAAGCATGCCATAAGCTAGAGACTATTCCCAAAGCTGCTGCTTATATATGGAAACCAGACCACATACCCAAAGCAGCTACTCAGCTGCTTGTGGTAGATCCCACCATGGAATTGATTGCCAGTCTCATATGGGAAATAACTACAACCAGCTGCCCAGCCACTCAACCAGGCCCAGCCAAGTTGACACACAAACATAACCACAACAGCATGTCTTAATTTTATCATAAAAGAGTAATGAAAAATTGAAAGGAGAAAGAGAAAAGCTCAGGTGAATGAAAAGGTATAAAATGGAGGGAGGAAAAAAAATAAGTGCTGTTTATCAAACGTGTTACAGATATTGGGCCTTGTGTTATATGCTGTACCTTTATTAACTCATTTAATTCTCACAAGAACCCTAGGTGCAGAACATTGTGCCTATTTCAAATAGGGAATCAGACTCTTCAGGAGGTATAGAAACTTGTCTAGGGTCACACAGTGAGAAAATGGCAGGCACTTCCCTAATTCTGTCTGGTTCCAGCCTATGCCTTTTGCCTGGTGCTGCTTTCGTTTCTCAGGCGTTATCATCCCCAGGGACTCTAGTGAGGGGAGAGGTTGGTATTTCCATGAGCTGGCTCTTCAACATGGCCAACTCTTGAGGTGCAGGCAGAGGAGGAGAAGCAGTGGCAGAGATAATGCTGACCCAGTCAGTCATTGCTTGGTGCCTACATCCGGGTACAACTTGCATACTCTCCATTGCTCTCACTTCACCTTTTATGCCTCTGCCACTTTAATTCAGGTTTCCTTTTCTCCTTTCTGGACCTGTGTGGCAGTTTCTCCACAGTTCTCCCTGCCATTGCCATGCCCCACTTCCATCCAATAGTTTTGATATAATAGATGGGAAAGTGTGTTGAACTCTACAAGTTCTATGTCAAAGTAAGGTGGTATAATTATTAACAACAAGGAGTTCCCTTTGGGGTCATGTGTTCTTCATTCTGATCTAAATATCATCTCACTCTTTACCTCCCCATAAAGTCAGCTAGTATGTAACTGTGAAAATTTCTTCTCTCTCACCAGGAACTGAAGCTCTCTTCTCATGAGGAAGCCTTGTCCTTTGTGTCTCTGGTAGATGGCTACTTCCGACTGACGGCAGACGCCCATCATTACCTCTGCACTGATGTGGCTCCCCCATTGATCGTCCACAACATACAGAATGGTTGTCACGGTCCAATCTGGTTGGTTCTAGATCCTTTTTAGTTACCTTTGGTGGGGAAAGAGCCCATGTTTCAGTGATGGGGCACTTGGCCTCCTCAGACACAGATGTCCCTAGTTATTTAGGTTAGAGTCATTTGACTATGTTGGTTAATACTTTCTTGCTGCCCTCATTGACAACCCTGCTCTTCCAACCTCGGAAGAGCAGCCACTCACTTACTGGGTTTTGCCTCATAGTTCAACACCCTCGCCTCTCCACACCTGTCGGAGAAGTGCTACATTTCCTAACCTATTGCTGCAAAAACTATGGGTGATTAAAGAAGGATAGGATATAAGTATCAACATCAGACAGTGTAGCAAACACATCCTGTGACATCTTGTCCTAAAGCACTGAGTGAATATGAGGACCGTAAGGGTAAAGAAGCCTCAGAAGGAGCTTTACAGGCTATCTTGTCCTATGTGCATCTCAGAACTGGAAGCTTGTGCTCAAGTACCTCGTGATGGCACCACTAGATTACACATGCAACCATTACAGGTGTATGTACTTTTTTTGTATAGAGTTGAGATTTACGTATTTATAATTTATGCCCATTTACCTGAGTTCTGATGTTTGAGGCAACATGAATTTCACTAACTTCCTCTTGGACATATGCATGTGGACAGGTTTCAGCAGAGCTTCCAGACTAAGACTCAGAAGAAGGAAGGGGCCATCCACTTCTCAAAGAACTAGCCAGTGAAGACTTCATGAATAGCAGTGAAACATTGTCTGATATATTACTGGAAAACTTGATGAATCACCCTGAAACACTGTCTGATATAGTGCCAGAGGATGAGTCCCTCAGGTCAGTCAGAGGGCACTTAAGAGTATGACCAGGGAAGGATCCAGCAAGATGGCCGACTAGGCAGAAAGACTGCACAGACCCTCTTCAACAAAGAAAAGGGAAACCAATTAACACAGACACAGAAGATAATCCTGGACCCCTG